GCAGGAGCCCTGTCTCTGTGCTCTAGGGCACTCATCAAACTAGAGGAGCCTGTAGCTAGTCTTTGGCTAGCTCCTCCAAGCCTTCTGATAAACAAGAGGCAATTGGGTGATAGTTGGCTAAAACATACTAGATTTTATTCCAAGTTAGACAAATTATTTCCTACCTCCATCTTTTCTCCAAATGATGTGTTTCCTCCTTTGGACAGGCACACAGTGCTTACCTGTGCTGATCACTTACAACCCAGCAAAACAATGAGTTGGATTTATCAGTTACAGCCAGAGCTTTCTTCTGAATTCCTGTCCAGCTTCTGGAAGAGCAAGAGCTTCTATGCATGCAAGTGAAGTACACTGAAGGTGTTTAGGAAGCTCTTCTGAAAATGCATTATCTTCCTAGCCAAGCAGAACCGTTGGCCTGGAAAGAGCCTGATGTTCACTTGCTTTTGATTAGTAGGGTTTAGTTCTTTTGGATATCTCCTTCAAGTAAGATTTGGTGTATTTGTTGTAATCTGACAGGAAGATTCTTTTTATGTAAAACAAAATTCCCCACTCTTAATTGGTCTTTTCCTTCATCCTGTTTCTGTCTCACTTCCCTTCAGTGGAGGCAGAGCATCAGGAAATCCACGTGGGTGATGAGGAAGGAGGGAGTGTTTGGGAGGTGACCTACAGTGATCACAGCTAGTGCAGAGGAATTGTTCATCATGTGTCTGGCGGGTGTCCTGTAGGTGGAGAGCAGTTGTCCTAAGCAAGCTTTGGGATGTTTCAACATCTCTGTGTCTCATTTATTGAGCTATCTTTATTGGCTTGTTTTGTTGCTTGTTTTTTAAGGCCTTTGACTGCTCTAAGTGGTGACTTGTTTGAGACCAGATTGTGATGGTTTTGCTCACAGCAGTGGGGCTGGAGAGCAGAGTGGAGGAGCAACCTGCACGTGGCAAGAACTTGTGTGGCAACTGGCAAGACAGGTGTTGGGGCTTCTGCCTCTTTTGGCATTTCAGTTCCTCTTTGCTTGGAATCTGAGCAAGAGGGAAGAGGAGCCTGCCTGTTTGGTGTTCCAAAAAAGAAGGGCCTGCCTTTGTGTCTGCTGCTTTTGTGTAGTGCAGTGATAACACCAAGATGAAATCCACAAAGAACCTTGTCAGGGAATTGTGATATTTGCTAATGAACCAGTCTTTTTTTTTTTTTTTTTTTCCAGTTTAAGAACCTAGTGCTGAAGATGCATAAGCACAGGCACATTTTGATACCAGGGCTCTGTCTCTGTGTGTGTAATTGTCTGCTGGAAGTATTCCATGAGTATATAAACAATGCAGGAGGTAGTCAAGTCAGCGTTGAGTTGCAAACCCAGCCTTTGCTATTAGTAAAGTGATCAGAAATACCTTGGCAATTAGTTCAAAGCTGTTCCACAAAACCTTATTATCTACCATATAATGTTGTTAATTAAAAATACAAGTGTAAGTATGAATGCCAGTGAGTAAGAAGTTTTAAGAGGCGGCAGTAGTCTGGTGTCTGCAAGTTTTGGGGTGTCTCTGTTATCCACACTTAGATTTCCAGTTTCCAGTTTGGAACAGAGCAAGTGAACCAACCATTTTATATTTTTGATAGAATTAATACACAAAATACTGTAGGAGTTTTTTTTGGTCAGGCCCTAAGTGTGGGCTATCTGTGATTGCAGTTCATTCTTTGTTTTCTTAACATCTGTCTTGTTTTTCAGTTTTCTACTGGGAATCCATTATATGAAACTTACTACAAACAGGTAGGTTCTTAAAAAATAATTTAAAAATAAAGTGCACTTCCTCTTCCCCAAGATTTCCTTCTCTCTCCTTTCTCTATTGCAATGCTGAGCTGCTGCAGATGCTCTCTGCTTTGTGGCAGTGCATGCTCCTGTAACTCCTCTTGGCCTAGGTTTAGTTTATCTCTCCTTTTGTGACAGACATCCTTCATCTGAATGTGAATTTTTATCTTTCAGGTAGATCCAACGTACACAGGGAGAGTTGGGGCAAGTGAAGCTGCACTGTTTCTTAAAAAATCTGGTCTCTCTGATATTATCCTTGGAAAAGTAAGTTGAAGGGATTAGATAATGCAGTCATTATTCGTGTGCTTGCTAAACTGCAGCTAACGTTGGGTAGAAGGGTTTTGCAAAAAGGAGTCTGGTGGAATGCAGATCAGATCCGTAGAACATCAGGTTAACCACAGGTGCTGTTCTGAGTTTCATAGGAGTCTAAAAGGAAAATTGCCTTTTTCTAAGATTCTCACTGTTAACTTGAGAATTAATCAGCGTTGTCTGTGATAACATCAAAGCTGCAATGAACAGTTGGAGAAGATTTACAATGTGAACTACTGAGCTAAGTTCTATTTTCAAATCACAATGACTTTTATTTTCTATCTCCACAGATATGGGATTTGGCTGACCCAGAGGGTAAGGGATACTTGGATAAACAGGTAAATGAAATGTGTCTGTAGACCTCTTACCTTACCTTCCACAGATTAGCCTCACTTACTGATATCAGGAAACCCCTGATATCAGTAGTAGCTATCCTTAGCTTTTTTTTTTTTAAGTGTTCATTTACAATATGAGTTTTTTTTTCTTAGCACTGCACAAATCCAAGTATGTTGCCTAGGCTGCTGGAGAACTTTGGATCAAATTTTCTCTCTCTTGTTTTGTAAATAATCAGATACATCGTCATTGAGTCTTTTACAAATAAAAGCTATGATTTTAAGATTTATTTTAGAAGTCTTCATGGATGAAAAAATGCAACTAGAATTAATAAAACTGGATGGGAATATCAAATAGCAAGTTACTTGTAGATATGGAGATTTAAAAAAAAAAATTGCTGTTGAGTCTTTTACAAATAAAAGCTATGATTTTAAGATTTATTTTAGAAGTCTTCATGGATGAAAAATGCAACTAGAATTACTAAAACTGGATGGGAATATCAAATACCAAGTTACTTTTAGATATGGAGATTTAAAAAAAAAAAACACACTTTTTTTTTTTAAATTGCTGAAGCATATTTAATTATGGGACAGTCCTTAAAAACTTTGGAAAGTCCTTAAAAGTTTTCTACTTTTTGTTCCATGTTATTGTCAAGTTTTTCCTGAATCATCTGTTAAAGCAGTGGAGTAATTGTCACTGTGCAGTTAATGGATGGGGACATACATCTGTTTTTCCAAACTGGATTGAGTTGCACGTGTGCAGGGTTAGTACAAATCATGAATGGGTTATCAGAGACTGATTTAGACCATTTGTTTGTTTTTGGCAGGGTTTCTACGTTGCGTTGCGCCTCGTGGCATGTGCACAGAACGGCCATGATGTCAACCTGAGCAGTCTAAACTTGACTGTGCCACCTCCTAAATTTGTAAGTAATATCTCCCTAAATGTTTGTATGTGTTATAGGAGAATTAGGGCTTCAGTTGGAATGCTGGAATAATTTTCTGTTTCATAAATGTCACAGTTCTGAGACTTGAAGCTGCTGTGTTCCTTGAGATAAACTGCAGTGGTGGCTGCCACAGTCCTGTCTTCCTGAGTAGTATGTGCCAGTCCCTTCCTGGACTGCAGAACTGCTTGTTCAGGAAACTGATGTGGCTAAACCCTAAATTTATGAAAACAGAAAAGAGAAGAGAGATTCTTTTTGGTCTAGGTCAGCAGGAGAGTGTAGCAGAGGGCATGACTGCAGCTTTGCCTGCAGCAGCTGCTGTGGAACCTCCTTTAGCTCATCTTGGTTCTGTGTTTGGGTATCCAGTGTCCTTAGTGAAGTAATGTTGTAGTAGAAATCAGTATGACATTTTTTTTCTTTCGGTGCATGTGCAGCCTTTTTTCTTCTTTTCAGTGTAGTTAAGCTAGCATCATGTCTAGAACCACTTCTTAAAGCAGTTAGTAAGGATCAGAGACAGAAGTGTGTGTATTTTCATATACATACACATATAAATAAATTCTTTCATTTTTAGCATGATACTAGCAGTCCTTTGCTGATCACACCACCTTCAACAGAGGCTCACTGGGCTGTCAGGGTAAGTGTAAAAGACAATGCATTCCATCCATTCTTTAAAAGTAAATATTTTCCCTGTCTGTAATTTTCCCAGTGAGAGAATTTTGTGTCAAATCCATTTCCCACTTCAGAAGTCCTCCCTTTCTGATGACAGACTTTTACACAATAGAGAATATTGTAGCTGTAGATTTATGTTTGAAATAAGTATTAAACAAGCCATTGACAACCCCTGGTGTGATGTATTTAAGACACAATGAATTTTAATCTTCTCCCTGGATTTATTCCAGGAACCTAATAGTAGGCACTTTCATGTTTGTATAAAGGAACCCCACTGAGAACAGCAAAGCATTTCACCAAATCCATCCACAAGTATTAATTTAAAGCTTGAATTCATATGTTGTAATTAGTATTCAGTGATACACAAAATATATATACTCAGGAAAAAGTAACTTTTGATAAATACATGTGGATATTTGTATTTAGTTAATTTTCAAATGCAAACATTTTCTAAAAAGTAAAATTTTAATAAACCAACTTCTACTGCAGATATATTTATTTACTTATTTGTTTTGTGTTTTAAAGTTGAAAGCAAATTATTTGGGAAGAATGGTTTTTAGTTCCACAGAGTTTGTCAAAGTTTGTTTAAAATCTGATCAGCAGCATTTGAATCAGAATGCATTGTCCTTTTAGAACACTGCAGAAACACATTTTGTGTGCTCTTAGCTATTGTACCCTTAGCTTTGATAATTAAACTCCTAAATCTAGCTCCGTGGGGTTGACATTTAACTGTAGCATGGTGGCACTTGCAAGAAAGCTTGGAAATTTAGCATGCATACATTACTGACCAGTCTTAATTTCTTGCAAGATCTCATTTTCAACACTCACACAGGCACACTTTTTTACTTATTCAGGCTATTTCTTACCAACTAGGTGGAAGAAAAAGCAAAGTTTGATGGTATTTTTGAAAGCCTTTTGCCAGTAAATGGTTTACTTTCAGGAGACAAAGTAAAACCAGTACTGATGAATTCAAAGCTACCTCTTGATATCCTAGGAAGGGTAAGTACACTGTTTGGATTTGGCTATTCTCTATTTAGCTTCTCCTTGCTGCAGTGTTAAATATTTAAACGTGACTTATCAACATAGATCAGGTTTTGGCTGAGATTTTACACTGAGTACATGCTATAAAGCAAGAACATTAAGGAGGCTCTGAAGTCTTCCACTTAAAAATAAGAATAATAGTAGTAATTTGGGGCCTAGAACAGATTGGCTGCATTATCTGTGTATTCATTTTAAGAGCTGGACATTTTTACTTTTGTTGTTTAGAACCAAGAAAAAACTCCTAAATTATATTAGCTTTTATAAATTAATACTTCACTGTTTTGTCATTTTTCCAAATAGCAAGTTATGAGACATACCATTAAATCTATTCACTGTTTGTACAAGAGAACACTTTAAAACATCCCAGACTGTTGTAGCTGTCCAATTGTCAAGTTACTGGTTTTTTTTTTCATGTATATTTATAAATATTTCTGAGATCTGAGTTCAGTGCATCCACTGCATATTTGCAAGGGAAGCAAAGCGTGAAGTGTTTTTCTGTTTCCATTTAAAATACTTATTTAATGTTTTGTGTACTGGTGTGGCTGAGAATGAAGACATCCTATGTAAGAGCTGTAGCTGCATTACAAACTTTCATCTCCTCAGAACTGCCTCTTTCTCTGTATTATCTACAAAGTCTAAGTGTGACTTGTTTTAATGCTTTACTTGAATATTGTGAAGTACTGAGTCTTGAAAAGATTTATATGTTATCTCGTTATTGTCATGATAGAGGTTCAGGAAGTTTCTTCCTGTTCCAGAAAAGTTTGCAAACAGGATATGGGCCTGAGGAAGTGGTTGGAGGACTAACCAAAGAGCTTCAGTTTGTGCAGGGGTCCAGAGATAAAGTTGGAAGTAGAGTTCAGGTGGTTGAGCCTCTAGTCATAGCTTTCTGTCCACACTACTGTCTCCAAACCATGCTGATGATTAAATAGTGCTAGCTGATGACAGAGTCTTAAAGTACACAGAGTTTTGTATCCTTCTAAATCTCCTGCAAGTTTTGTTCACTGTACTCAACCTAATAATGAACTAAAGTTAATAGGTGTTTAAATTCTCTCTTCTAGTAAGTACAGAGTACAGGGTGTGTGTATATATATATTTTTTTTTACTAAAAATGAAAACTAGAATTTTAACAATGTAATTCAAATTAGAAATATGTTGACTTACCCTTTCTTACATGACAAATTTGGATAATGTGCTAGCTCCCATCCTCTGGACCATCCTGAAAGCCACCTCTGGATGTTTTCAGTCAGCATGGTAACTCCTTAATTGCAATGTAGAAAGATGAAATACCTGCCTGGGCTGCATCCATAATTGCTTAGAGCCAGGATTAATTCACAATGCCAGAAATTGTAATCCAGTCTGTTTTATCAGAGCATGTTTAGCTGGGTCTGATAGAACTAATGATCTTCACAAAAACCTATAAGGAGTCTTTAGGGAGCACACTTAAAATGATAACATCAAAAGCACAAAATGTAACTTGTTCTCTAAATCATTGTTTTAGGTCTGGGATCTCAGTGATATTGATAAAGATGGTCACCTGGACAAGGATGAATTTGCTGTGGTAGGTTGCTTTAAATCCTCAATTCACAGTGTGTCTGCTAGAGCAAATCACTGGGATTTTTCTCAAGAGTTTTGTGGCTTTCTCTGCTACAGTCTAATCTAAATTGTTCTCAATGAGCTATTAAATGATATTTCTCAAATCCATCTACTGACTCTTTCTTGCCTGTCATCAAGATTAAAGTGTTTAAAATTCCATTCAAAGTGATCTGCTCTGGTGTACATCTCTAGTCTCTTGTTGTACTAATATGTAAATGACAGACACTGGAAAATCTTGTTGCTTTTTCTTCTAATTGCTAATGTTATTTGACCTTTTTGCCTTTGCAGGCAATGCATTTGGTTTATAGAGCTCTTGAGAAAGAGCCAGTTCCTTCACTATTACCCCCTTCTCTCATACCACCTTCTAAAAGAAAGAAGACTCCTGTCTTTCCTGGTGCAGTCCCTGTCCTCCCTGCAAGTCCTCCACCAAAAGACAGCCTCCGTTCTACCCCATCTCATGGTAGTGTCAACAGTCTCAACAGCACAGGGAGTCTGTCTCCCAAGCACAGCATCAAACAAGCACAGGTACAAAACTTTTTTTCTTCCCCTCCTGTTCCTCCATTTTATTTTTTGTTTGTTTTTTAACCAGTAAACTTTATGAAAAAAATAAAACTGCTGTTTGATTTCTGCCTCATGTGAGAACTCTTCTGAAAATGTTTGTTGTTGGGTGGTTAGGGTGGAAGGAGTGAAATGCAAATGGTAAGACTTGGAAGAACGGAAGAAGAGCAGGTGAATTTTAGTCTGAGGTAGCAAAACCTACAGGGAATTTTCACTTTTCATAAAAAGTTGAAACCACAGAAAGGTTTTGTTCACATATCTGCTTGAATATGAAAGAAATCCTTAATCTACCTTCTAAAGCTCCTGTGTTATTAGCATAAAGACTTAGTATGGCTAGTGGGTCTGTATTTCCAAGGAGTGAATGCCTTTCCACTAATGGTTAGCTGTTCATCAGTATTTATCATTCAGGTAAAAAGTATTAAGCTGAGTCAGTCATGGGAAGATGGGAAATACCTGTTTATCAGTCAGATTTCATTGTGCAAGGTGTTTAGCACACCTGACTGACTGTCATGTGTACTCAGTGTGTTAATAAAGCCTGTTGATCTCCTTTTGAAACACAAAACTTGGTTTTGCAGCCATCTGTGAACTGGGTCGTGCCCATGTCTGAGAAGGTCCGATACGATGAAATTTTCTTAAAAACAGACACAGACATGGATGGGTTTGTGAGTGGCCAAGAAGTAAAGGACATTTTTATGCACTCAGGTCTGTCTCAGAATCTCCTAGCACATATATGGTAAGAATTTCCTAGTAGCTGTGATTTTGTAACTTGCTGATCTGGGAAGTCAGATTATCCAGCCAGAATTGAGATGCTAGCATTAAAAAAAACAGCCAAGCAACCAAATCCAACCTCCTTAACTTGTCCTGTTGCCATTCTACAATATGTGAGCTGTATGGAAAAACAAGGGAGAAACAAATACTTTGCTTTTCTGGAAGGAAAATATAGGTCAGTCTGTGAACTGTGGTTGGTTGGCTGTTTTTTCAAGTTCTAGTGCTCTAAATGTTTTCTCAAAGTACCACTATTCAATTAAATGTGTCTAATAAAATACTGCTCTGTTTATGAAACTCTTTCACATGGAGTAAACAAGCTCTGATGAGGCTGAATGAAATGTATAAATGTTTTCTCAAAGTACCACTATTCAAGTAAATATGTCTAATAAAATACTGCTCTGCTTATGAATCTCTTTCACATGGAATAAACAAGCTCTGATGAAGCTGAATGAAATGTATGTGTGTATTTCAGGCTTCTTGGTAGAGGAGAAATAAACTTTTCTTGTTAATAAGTGTGATCTATTTTTTACCAGGGCTCTAGCAGACACGAGGCAGATGGGAAAGCTGAGCAAAGATCAGTTTGCACTAGCAATGTATCTCATTCAGCAGAAGGTCAGTAAAGGGATTGATCCTCCACAAGTGTTGTCCCCAGATATGATCCCTCCCTCAGAGAGGAACACTCCCATACAGGTAAGGCATTCGTTATCTGTAGATAAGACTGAGCTTATGTGCTTTGGAAGTAATCAGTTTTAAGTATTGATTTTGTAAATTTATTTTTTTTTTGTAATATTATTGTAAAGAATTGTAGATATTTTTTTTTTTCTTCTCTCACTAAATCCTTTATCATTTGAAAATATACATAAATTTTTAACAGCAGAAGACAGTAAATAAAGAGAAATCAGTTTTAAGTATTGATTTTGTAAAATTATTTTTTTTTTGTAATATTATGGTAAAGAATTGTAGATTTTTTTTCTCTTCTCTCACTAAATCCTTTAACATTTGAAAATATACGTAAATTTTTAACAGCAGAAGACAGTAAGTAAAGAGGCAATAGAATATTCCATAAATAAAGGAATAACAATGCTGAGAAAAGCCTAGCATGAAAAATACTTTTTTTGTCACAGATAAAGTTGGGGGTTTTCCAACTTTTAAGTTAAAAGCAACTGTTAAAAGTTGGTTTAGTAGCCTGTCCCTGACTGTGATCAGTACCAAATTCCTCCCAAGAAAATGTAACGTGTTTTAATGGCTAAATGAAGAGTGGTGACTTCCCAGTTTTTGGTGATTGCTGATTGATTCATCCCTTGTAGCATGATAGTCCCCAGTCCTTGTTACTGCAGCATCTCCTGCTGACCCTGCTTTGTTCTTTTCCTCACCAGTGTGTTCGTGTATTTCTGACACTTTAATGAATAAATCTCTCTGCACAGCAATACATTCAGCTTTCCTATTTTCCTTTACTTTTTTTACTTTCCCTAACCAGAAAGCTGTTGAGCCTTCTAAATATATATTTTAATTGTTGCTGTTGCTCTGGACCTTTCAAGGCTTTTCCTGTATCCTTTTCCTATAGACTCTGTCAGGTTACTTGACCCCTGTAGGAACTGAGATCTCAGCACTAACAGAAATGCGTCGCGTGAGTAATTGGAACATCCAAAAGAATGCAGATTTCTTCATGTGTGCTACTTGTAACTTCAGCAGAGTTTTTATCTCTACACCTTTTCCTGTCTCTTTGCTCTTGTTCTGTGACACTTGCTCTTGGCATGGTGATAATGTCACAGCAGTGTGAAGTTACCAGTACTGCTGGCTGGGCTGGTGGCGTTGCTTCCTTCAACATTTTGGATCTGTCAGGAAGTTCCTTTGACAGCTCGATGTTGGCATGTTACAGTTACTCCTGTACTAGATCTGAAGCTGTGGGCAGTAAATACACTGCAAGAGCCTTAAGCTTCCCATAATTTTCAGTTCACTGTGTCTTTTTTTTTCATCTGCTGTGGTTTTTGCTGAATATAACATCAAATAAACTGTATGGTACTGTTAACATAGCAGCTCAGTGTTCTCTTTGTGTGGGATGATGAGCTGTGCTGTCCTAACCAATGCAGCAGCTCAGTTCAATTTATTTCATTATCATCTTGGGTAGTGCTTCAGTATGATCCTGTACAGCAAACACAGTACATACTTCCAGCAAATCTCTGTCTGCTCTGAAAGGATAAAAGTGATATTAGGAACTTTTGTTTTCCTAGCTTGAAGAATTAGTCTGGATTGTTGTTGCTGTTCATGATTACTTAATGGCATATTAGTAAAAGAACTGCTCAGGCAAAAGTGAGGACTTAAATCACTTAAACTGTATTCACCTATTGTTGCAGCAAAAAAGTCCCATTTTACTATGCTATCTGTTTGTGGTTTTGTTGTGGTTTGAGGCTTGGAATGGGGGCGTGACCTTCCAGCAACTGGGAGGACCCCGGGTGGGGGTGAACCATTGTATTCCCTCCCCTTCCCACACACACTCTGATAAGAGGCAGGGAGTGGGTTCTTGTTTCACTCCTGCCTTGGAGCTCGGAGAGGAAAGTTGTCCTTTCACTCCGTGGGACCCTGGAACCATTTCTGAGGGTTTTGTATATTTTATCTTTTGTATTATTCCCCTAATCTTTATATATATATTATTTTCCTCACCTCCCTTTTTCGTTTTCTGTTCCTTATTGAACAATATGCTTCTTTTTTTTTTTTTTTCCAAAGTCTCTCTCTCTCTCTCTAGGGGGGGGGTGGGAGAGGCAAGTACATAGTTCTGTTCCGTGTGGGTCCTGCCCTGAACCCCTTTTTACACAGAACCAGGACAGGTTTGTTGGTTGGGTTCGTGGGGTTTTTTTTTACATTGAATAAAGCCAAACTTTCTGTGGTTATCACAGCAATCTCAGAGTAAGCAAAGCAAGCAAACTGTACTTTCTTCTGCTTTAAATCCTATTTAGAAATGGTAGGTTTCCCAATTTGTTGTACTGGTGGTGAGTTCAGTGTTGCAGTTTTTGCTCAGTTGCAATGATTTTTTTTTTTCCTCCAAAGAACCATCTAACCTTTTTTATAATAAGGACAAATTTTGTGCCAAATGCTGAGAACCTTTCCTAAGAACTTTTAATTACAATTTTCTTGTCTAAAAGGCAAGAGCTACCCTCTGCATTGTCCTGATCTACACCTGAATGGCTGTAGAAATGACCTGAGAGAAATTTGGTATAATTGGACAAATTGGCATTAATTTGTGGCAGGGCTGAAGGAGGCTGAAATTATACTCTGGTTTCATGAAGATCCTTGGAAGCTTTGCTATTGGCTATAGCAGAGCTGGGGGTTTAGGTTTTGAGTTTTAGTTCTGCCATTGCCTGCAGTTTATTCGTTGCCATTGTGCATGTCCTTAATTGCTGCCTGTTTCCACTACCCCATCTGTTCAGTGGGCATAGAGAAAGTTCTGCCCCACAGGTAGAATTGTGTGGCATGCTCAGTGGTTTTTTGCATGATAATCTGATGGCTCTCACAGAATTTTGCAAATGCAGGTCGTGAGGTTTGTGTCCCACCTTTCTCCTCAGCCTTTGTGAAGGAAGATCTTGTTACAGCTTGGCTTTGTAAGAGACTGTTTTGTTCTTAACAGGATAGTTCAAGTTCCGTTGGATCAGGAGAATTTACAGGGGTGAAGGAACTGGATGATATTAGTCAAGAAATTGCACAGCTGCAGAGGTAATAATTGTGGGCTATTAACAAAATCTTGGAGTGAGAGAACCAGTGAAATCTATAGGACTGATGTGTTCATTAATTTTGTTTTCTTCTAGCCAGTTTACCATAAATTGTCACTGAAATTGGTGGCAAATCTCCCACTGATACCCTATAGTTAGCCAATTATGTCAGGCCTGCCTGGATTCTACCAGTGGCCTTCAGGAGGTTGATTATGGAACAGATATCAACCGTTCTTCAAAAAATACTCTGTGTATACTTTTACTCCTTTAAAGTGTATGTCTGAATATGGACTGGCATTTTTGGCTGTGTGGTGTGCCCAGAATAATCTTTGACTTTTTTGTGTTTTGTATTATTTAACTAATCATGAATACTTGTACTTGTTTATCTTACAGAGAAAAGTATTCACTAGAACAGGACATTAGGGAAAAGGAAGAATCAATCAGACAGAAAACCAATGAAGTTCAGGTAAAAACTTTTTTATTTTTAGTTTCCATTTTAATCTAAAATCATATATGGGGACTTAAGCATTCTCTCTTTTGTCTTCCCTTATGTTGCTTCTGGGCAAGTCTTTCCTTCTTTCTCAGGATTTTCCTCTAACTTAAAGAGAGATCTTTATTTTCCAGTTCTTTATCAGAAATGTTTTCTTCTGGTGCTAGTTAATATAAACAGAAGATGATGCGTGAACAGTTTGAAATGTCTTTTCTGTTAGTGCTTGACTAACACACTATAATTTAGGAAATTATTATTAAAAGAATATTAGTTTTGATAATTAGAGTAGCTCAATTATATGTGCTCTGTGTCAAAGTCTCTTTCCATCTTGTGGGCACTGATTTGTTTCCTGATGTCTTCTAGAAGCTCTTGCAGAAACAGAACGTAGGCATGCAGGGAATAGCCCAGAGACACAGAAAATCCTTTGGGTGTTGCTAGTCTGTCAGGCTGTAGTTGATCATTCCTGTAAGACAACCACTAAATGTGAGTTACTAACTGTGGAATTTTCTGTAGGAACTACAAAATGATTTAGATAGGGAGGCAAGTAGCCTGCAAGAGCTAGAGGCTCAGAAGCAAGACGCCCAAGACCGCCTGGATGAGATGGACCAGCAGAAAGCCAAGCTGAAAGACATGCTGAATGATGTGAGGCAGAAATGCCAGGAAGAAACACAGGTGGTGAGTGTACGTTAGTTCTGGACGTGCTCAAAAGTATTGTCTTATGCTGAAGAAAATTCTGTTTATTTAATGAGTGAGCTTGCTTTGTTTATTCATTTTTACCATAAATGGCATTTTCCACACAAATACAGAGGTCCCAGGAAGGATTTTGCTGGTGTAAATACCCTTCTTAATGGCCATGAATGAGGGGTTGAGCCAGATGATCTCCAGGGGTCTCTTTCTATGTAAACTGTTACTCTTCTGTGAATAGATGAAACATTTCCTGACCCATGAGACAGTCCATGGGCAGTGCTGCATATCTTGATCCCTGTGAACCTCACCAATATTGTGAGGTAGAGGTGGGGTTTCAGGGGATACAGTTGCCAGCGTAGCCAGTGTGTTATTTTAGGGTAGGAGGCTGTGTAAGAAAGTGTACAAGGAGGGGTATGTGCAACTGTGTCATTTTAACTCTCATCAGAGTTAAGAATCAACTTTATGATACTTGATAGATGTTAGTGCAGAAAATGAGCCAAGTTCTCAAAACTACATGGTAACAGTCTAAGAAAGAACTTTATAATGAGTGTGGTATGTCTTTCATTTGAAAAGTTAATCTCTCTTTGGGTTCGTTGGATGTCCTGTGTGCTTTTATCAAGAGCTTTGTGTAACATAATATGAAGTGTGCAGTTCTTCATATTAAGTTGTTCTTGTCTTCCTTAGCAGGTGATAGGTTGCTTTGCAACTTTCTATTATTTAAATTCATACGTTTTTAAGTTGCATTTATTTCAAATTTGACTCTGATTGTTGTAACTTTTTGTTCCAGATTTCATCACTAAAAATGCAGATTCAATCTCAGGAATCAGATTTAAAATTGCAGGAAGATGACCTTAATAGAGCAAAAACAGAACTGAATCGCCTCCAGCAAGAAGAGACTCAGCTGGAGCAGAGTATCCAGGCTGGAAAAGTGCAGCTTGAAACAATAATCAAATCTTTAAAATCAACACAGGAAGAAATAAACCAGGTAGCCACTGTGGGTTGTACAGCTTTTGTTTTTCTTTTTTTGGCTTCTTGAATGGCCAAGAGAAGAACACCACCTAGAAATATTATTTTGCAGAGTAGAAGGCAAAAAAAACCCCACATGGTTCATGAAATAAACCTTTTTGGCTGGTGCTTAGTAGGTTAATTCCCATTTTGAGTCAGGAAAAGTTCAGCTTTGGTGGGAGGAAAATGCAGCTCTGGCGACCACGTTTAACAGGAACGATGATGTTGTTGTGTGTGTAACATACTAAAGCACTTTTCACTGCCTAGGCAAGAAGTAAACTTTCTCAACTTCAAGAGAGCCATCAAGAAGTCAATAAAAGTATAGAAGAATATAACGAAGCTCTCAATGGGATTCATGGTGGCAGCCTGACAAATCTGGCAGACATCAGTGAAGGCCTCGGGCAGACGGAAAGAAACAATTATGGAGCTATGGTAAAAACATCACTGGTGTTTAGAGTGTTTGACAACCATTAGGTTTGTGTCTCACACCTAAAGTGAAATAGTGAAGAAGTTTAAGTTGACTTTAGGTGTGTTTGCCAATACTGTGATCCCTGCAAGGCAGCAATCTCCAGTGCAAGGCACAACAAAGATTTTAATGCTGGCAGAATAAACTGATTTTTAAGCTTTGGGTTAGATCTTGTGCTAGGATTTCATGCCTGTGCAACAGTAGTAGTATAGATATGTAAGCAAAGTGTAAGTATGGAAACAAAAAGAAAAGGTCATGTTAGTCCTTCATTTGTAAACCGTCACTTCTTTAGTCTCAGGAAGTAGGTAGGACTTTATTTCCATTCAAGTGTTTTGTTTTCTTCTTGCAAGTTCTCCAGATGACCAATGTGACTGACACCTTCTCTTGCTGTAATCTTCCCCTTAATCATTATTCTTTATTTCCAGAAGAAGCTATACAAGTTTCTTCTTTGCAGTGAGTTGTGTTTATTACATATTTCAGCAATAACCATGTTCCCTTCCCAAAACACGTAGATAGTTGTTTTCTGGTTAAAAAATGCCAGCATAATTTATCCCCTTTATTATATTTCCATTTAGTCACTGTTTTTCCCAATTCATAAGATCCTTCAGGTTCTTAAAGGTTTTTTTTCCCAGTTAGTTTCTTTTGGGTATCTATTGTTGATTTGGATATTTAATAATATCTGAATCACAAAGATTTAATATTTTTTTAAGCTTATTCTTTTACTTCAAATATAAAAGTTGCATAGTTGCTTGATCCTACTTGCACATCTACTTGGTGCTTCCTCATTAGGGAAACATAGCTTCCAGAATCCTTGTCAGCACAGTATTTACTATGGGTTTATTAGGAAGGTATATATGTATTGTGTTTAGTATATTAATGAATATTCAGCAGGCATGCTTGCCTTTATGCCATGCTTTACACTTTCTCTGTAAACACAGAATGCTCAGGAGAAGGAAAGTGTAGATGAAAACCAGCAACACATTGACATGGTCCTGAACCACTTTAGTACTTAGTTTCTGTGCTTGCATGGCTGGTGTAAACATTATGTTTAATTTCCAGTGGAAACTTCCAAACGTTTCTCTTAGTTGCAAAACCACAGAATCACTCACTGGAAGAAAACTCCACTATATGTTCATAGTACATTTTTTAAGCCATTCTGCCCCTTTCCTGTTTCTTAATTCTTCCTTCCTCCCTGCTGTTCTGAGAAGTATTAAGAGTTCTTCACTTTAACAGTTTAACCTTTTATTGCTATGTATTGTTATCTCTGGATGTTTTGTGTAGCCTCAGGCTACATTTTTGTTTGTACTGTGTAATTACTTCTGCTTAGAAACCACTCAGTCAGAAAATTCTTCAGAAAGTAATTATTAAGGTCATTAAACATAAATCAAGATACCATAGAATTTCTTCTAAATGTGTAACTGAGCATTTTAATCATGGTAAGTTGCTGTAATCTTTCTCCTCTTGATTTTTAGGATGATCCCTTTAAGAATAAAGCCTTGATGTTTACCAATAATACACAAGAGTTGCATACAGACCCATTCCAGTCAGAAGATCCTTTCAAATCAGATCCATTTAAGGGAGCAGACCCTTTCAAAGGCAGTAAGTGACCTACAGCTTACCTTGGGACTTTGAAGACTGATTGTTGAGTAAATGACATTTTCACAAACTTTTCTCATCTTGCCAAATAGTGGATAAAACAAATTATTTTTCTGTTCTGCATAGGTGACCCATTCCAGCATGATCCTTTTGCAGAACAGCCACCTGCTCCAGCAGGTAATAGCCCTTTTGATGACAGGCCAGATGTGACACAAACTGTTTGTAGCCAAACACAAAGATTTCCAAGGTTTCCTCAGCTTCAGATTTTTGCTTTGCATGCGTGAACATAGAACTCTGGCAGGCGTGAGTTCAGGATCAGTGTGTTAACAGCATGTGTGTAACACTGTATTAAGACTATAACCTTAATATAAAACATGTATTTGTTCAAATTTAGTAAATACACTGTTTAGAGAGCTATCTGGAAGTTTCTTAGATTTCCCAGATGGTTGTGTGTTTTTATGTGGAAGAGGTGGATACCGCATGGTTCACTAGGGACACCCCAGGTGCTGCATCCCATTTACCTTTTGCTGCTCCTTCTAGATCCATTTGGAGGGGATCCATTTAAGGAAAGTGACCCATTTCGTAGCTCTGCCCCTGAAGATTTCTTCAAGAAACAGGTGAAGAGTGACCCATTTACCTCAGATCCATTCACAAAACCCCCAGCTTTACCCTCAAAGGTCAGTAATTTTTAAGTCTACACATAATAGATTTCATTACTGTTGACAAGTTTATTGTCTAAAAGCTCAAAGGGATGAAATATCATAACTGATCAAATATCAAATTTATTTTTGAAGTGTGGTTTGGTAAGGTGGTCAGCAGTTTGTTCTCTCCAGTTCTGTGATATTGATGTATACTCACTGTGCAGGTGCAGTTAGGTAGATTTGTTTTCTCTGTTGGGAATTCCAAGTGACCAACACCCACTCATTCCCACCATTCCCTCCATTCCATTGATGGCATTTGTGGACCCATTGAGGAGCTGATGTGGCCAAAGGATTACTGAGCCCCCAACAGACAACAGAGCCAACACAGCAGAAGGACTGCACAGGACATGTTTGTCAAATGTGTAGTCAGTGTTCTTGAGCAGTCCTTATGTGTACATGTGTGGTTGTTTGGTGGAGTGATGGATTTTTTGGTTTGTTTCTTAATCTTTCATGACATTCATTGACTAGTGACACTCAGTATCAGTCAGTGGGAGTTTAGTTTGTCTTGCAGTAGAGGTTTTTACTTAGTTTTGTAAAGTCTGCTGTTAACTAAGAGCAACTGTAAACACCATCTATTGAAAAAGAAGTGATATATGGACTTTCTGAATGAATAATAATGTAAATGCTCAACCTGAATATTCAATCTCTGTTGCTTAAAGTCTGAACACTTCTGGGTTTAACTTCATATTTTGCCCTGGTAACTCATAGTGTTTGTATTTCAGTGTTCTCACTTGAGTGTGTTTTGCTCATAGGTACTTGGTGTTTTGTTCAATAGCCAAATGCACTGATAATGCAAATTTCACATAATCATTCTGTTTTATCCTACTATGTGTCCATTGAACAGAGGGACCTGAAATTTGAAATGGTTTGTCCTAAAGAAAGAGATTTTGACATGCATAAAAAGACAAGTGCACTGTGCAGCAGAATTATAACTGTGTATATCTGTTCTTGTTTAGCCTGACCCTTTTGAAAGCAGTGATCCTTTTACGTCTTCCAGCATCTCTTCAAAAGGTCCAGGTAAGAGGAAAAAATATTTCTTATGGAGATGAATAAGGAGAGATCTCTTTAGGAGAGAGGAATCAAATGTATAAGTGGAGAGCAGACAAAGTGTCTTGTGAACTGTTGACAAATAGTGTAGTGATGATGAAGATGAAGTCTGTGCATGCTCTGTATACTTCACTTTTTTCTCTTCTTTTTTTTGTTCCTCCAAATAACTGGTAGAAAAGCTGTTGGTTTATGGAATTATAACATCTCATATCAGGTCAATTGCAAGTATTTTTTAGTCACCTGTCTAGTTTTGCATTCCATTGGCACCAAGCATTCCTCATGATTCATTATTTTTAAGTAACATTGTTTTTTTCTTTGTATCTGTTTCAGATCCATTTGGAACACTGGATCCCTTTGGAAGTGGTGCTTTCAGTAGTGGGGAGGGATTTGCAGACTTCAGTCAGATGTCAAAGGTAAAGGTTACAAGGAAAGCAACTGACTTTTTAAAAATGTATGTGCAGATACTGGTTTTCTTAAGGGTGCAATGTGATTGCAACTGTTCAGCTGGCAACCTACCCACTTTTGTTCATTTTTTCCCCATCAAACTCACCAGTTATTTAGCAAAGCATTTTCCATTCATTTTGGAGAAGGCAAGAATCTTACCAAGGCTGGTGGATTCAGCAGGGATAAATCAACCTTTCACAAACATCTTCAAAAACCAGAGAAGCCAAGGAAATAACTTTTGGTTTTTGCTTGTAAAAAAAAAAAAAAAAAATAGTAGTTGTTCCAGATGTATTAATATATTTCAGTGTCCAGCCTTCCCCTGTGTCCTGAAGTCTGCTTCTGGGATACTTCATCTTATAATATCCTGACTTGTTCTTAAACTTGTCCATGAGTACAGGGAACCAGAGGAAGGTGGAAAAACATGGTGTGCTGTTGTTTGGAAGTTCTTAACAGAATTGCTGTTTTCTTGATTTCTTACTATAAACTGAATACTGGGGGTATTTCAGCTAGAACTAGTTCCCTACCCCCACACCTGGATCAGTCACAGTCTCAGCTTTCTGAGATGGGAGTTTGGAATTTGCAAATGGTATCAGTTGCCATCAGCTGCCCAAGTTCTTACACTTAGCTCCACAGTAACACTTGAACATTGTGGAGTAAATGATAACGAGAAAACAGATCATCATATCATTTTGACTAGTTGAACTTGGGCTTTTTTTTCCTCAAGTTTTCTTACTGTTTTTTTTGTGCGGTTTTAGCTCTCCACTAGGTGGCAACAGTCTTCACAAATATTGATTTGTTGGCCTTCAGTTAGAAGCTGTAGTGAAGGTCTGACTGCAGGCTTTAGCTTAGCCCACAGAATTCCACAGAACTTCCCTGCATGGCATAATTTTTTGTGCATGTTGCAATCAGTAGGAGAGTACTTCACAAGAACCAGCTGAATATAGGGAACATTAAACATATAGTTTAGGAATCTTCCCTGAGTTTTTACAAAGAGGATAAATATCTGTGCATAACTGAAGAAAAGCCTGAGGAAAAAATCTCTCAGTTCTGCAGTCTGCCATGTTTTTCCAGTTTCTGTCGTGATTCTGTTTATCAGAGACAAGTCCAGAGTGTAGTGTGACCATTCATTGCCAAATAGTAAAAAGCAGAGTTTTACTTCCTTTTATATTTGGCATCAGCTTTTTGCTAGGAACTAAAAGTTTGAGAAGTACTTTGCTGATGAAGAGCATAAGCACTTTGGAATGTAAATGAAATCCTAGTAGCTGTCAGTGAGCATTAGCAATTCACACTAGTGACACAACACTGTACATCTGTCCTCCTTTCTTCAGTTAATGCTTTTACTTGAGTTAACTTGTAGCTTTCATGAAACAACAGATACTCTACAATGTGCTTACATTCTTCTTCTTTTCTTTTTTCTCACTTAGCCAGTAGCTCCAGACCCCTTTGCCTCCTCTTTTGGAGGGGTGGGATTCTCAGATGACCCTTTCAAAAGCAAATCAGACACACCAGCGTTACCACCGAAGAAAAATGTCCCTCCACGCCCCAAGCCACCCAGTGGTAAGGAGGTTTTCTCTTTTTAATAGCCAATTCCCCCAGTTTTCTGTGTATTTTTTGAAGTAGAAGACTTGTCAGCTTGTCTTTATCTCATTATCTTACATTTCAGCCATGGAGGGAAGATGCGAGATTATCAGTAAATTGGCAGAAATTGTCAGTGAACCAGACTGGAACTCTTCAGACTGAAAAACAGATGATTAGGGAGTGGTGTGATAGAGCTGTAAAATCATTTGTGTCAGGGAAAAATGAGGGGAGGGGGAAAACTTTTGTAGGCAACAGATGAGATTAGTAAATGGCACCTTCAAAATAAGCAGAGGTTTGGTTTTATAGAAGACTCTAAATTTAGTATTTATTTTTTTTCCAGAGAAAATGGTGCATGCAAAAAAGTTTAAATGGCCTTAAAAAAGAACTAGATCATTCTTAAACTCTATAATTCTTAGAAGAAAAATTGCACAGGAGCAACAAGGTCTACCAAAAGCCAAAGTGCTGTCTCTGGCTCCTGTGGTGCTGAATGCCTGCAGGGTAGTCTGAAGCATGGCTGTGTCTTTGCCTTGTTTTGGTGTTCTTCCTGAGGCATATCCCACTGGATCCTAACAAAACCAGGGTACAGGGCTCCATAGAGCTGTCTTGATCTGACCAGGTATGGTCATCCTTGCATGCACATATTGCTGCATTAAGTAGAAAACACATCCTGAACATTTGGCTTGTTCCTTCTTCAAGTCCATTATGTATGGAAATTCTTAGATGTATGAATCTCCTGAATTGAAAATAAGATCTGTTTAATGGGGCTACAAATTCTACTTGCTCACCCTTCCTAGAGCTGATTTTCAAAATACTCAGGTACCAGTGAAACTGTTTTAAGAACTGAAGCCACTTAGAGCTGTTAGTTTCAAGTCTCCTTTTACCAGCACTGGTATAGTTCAGTTAATACTATCAGTGAACATTTAGTTGGCTCAAAAAAAAAACCAAAACAAACCCCCAGCACCTTGATTCTGCTTATGAATAGGCACCAAACATGTGGGCCAACATCTGTTCTCATGTATCCACTGACAGCGTTCCAAAGAATACTATCAGTGAACATTTAGTTGGCTCAAAAAAAAACCAAAACAAACCCCCAGCACCTTGATTCAGCTTATGAATAGGCACCAGACATGTGGGCCAACATCTGCTGTTCTCATGTATCCACTGACAGTGTTCCAAAGCATAACACAGGGAGAACAGAGCCATTGTTAATGTCTCCCTGGCTGTGTGGATTGTCCCCTTCTCTGCTGCTGCATCTTGGTGCAAAGCATGCACCCTGCACCCATCCTGTTTATAACAGAGATTGTTGATCTGGCTGGTTTTGCAAACCAGTTGTGCTCAAACTAGCTCCATGGATAATATGAAAAGGGCTTTTTATTTCCAGAGCATCCTGAAGATACCATTAATTATCCCACAGATTGATCCAGGGTTTGGAAAATGCTATTTAATAAAGTAAACATAATGCTGCTGCAGTGGCCTGCTTTTAGTTTGTTCCTATTACTGTAGTTTTATTGCTCAAGAGATGATGATGCACAGTAAAACCCTGAAGTCAAATGGTGAAGTTCTGTGGAGGTGAGTGTTGGTAAAGATTTGTCAGGAAATGCTCTAGGATTGTGAAGTCTTGCACCAGTCTGTTCCATGCTTGCTTTGTGTAAATATCTTTTACTATTGAGGTAGTAGAGAGCTTTTAGTAAGTAAAAATATTTTTTAAAACCCAGAATATGTAATGTTGACAAACAGAAGCTCATAGGACATGAATAAAAGCAGATATATAAAAGCTACAGCAAATCTGATTTGCCATTCTGAATGATGTTATTTTCCTTTCTTTATTTGGTTTTCAAGGAAAGTATGTAAGTGGTCATCTCTTCCTTTTAAAAAATGTCTGCATAAAACAATTTACTGTTTAAAAGGCCATATGAAGTTGAATGAGTCAAATACTAAGTATACCTACATTATCTCTTTCCTCTGGTTTCTTGTTCAAAACATGATTATTCCCTGAAAAATACAGTGAATAGTAGCAGCAGAGATGAGCAACACATCCCACAGGACTCACTCACTTGCATGCTTTTTATTTTGATTGATGTCTCTTCATGCCCTTTTTTGTACATATTGAGGAATTGTGGAGAAGGTTTAGCTCTAATAGTTTGTTTTGAATTTAGATGTGTGCACTCAGCCTTTCATCAGACTTTTAAAAAAAACTTGTTTAAATCTGTACCTTGGGAAACACAATATTTGAAAGGTTCCGCTGCTCTAGCAAAAGCAAATGTTGTTATGATAAAATAGACTAAGGAGGAAACAAAGCAGGTTTTTTTTAAAGCAAATGGGCCTCGTGCTTCTGCAGTTATACTCCTCCCTTCCTTCCACAACTAAGGCAATCTTCAGTGGTTACTTGAAGCATGAGAAATTATATAGTAATATACTGTGATTCTAGCGAGAGATACAGGCGTGCAAGTGTCTGTTAGAAATGGGAACACTGCTCAGAAAACAAACAACAGGCAAGAAACTTCCGTTGTTTCTTACCTTTCTCATGGGCCTGTTTAATTAAAAAACAAGCAGGTGATAAAGATCTTGCTGAAGGATGGATAAATGCTAGTTATTACTAGACAAATCTGTCGCATGCCTTTCTGCTCCCAGTTTGTCCTCTCAGTAAAATGGTTCTTTCTGTTGCAGAGGATTTTTAATATGGAAAAGCACTTGTGTGGTTTGCTTGCATTTTGTTAAGCAAGTGCAATGAAGGTCTAATTTAAAGCTTTATTTATCCTCAGCACTCTTTAGTCAAGTAGAAAACCCTAATAAATATTTTTGCAGACAGTTGAAAGCTGTCTGATTGCCCAAGGAGCTGTTGATAGGGGAAGTCAGCAGAATCCACCAGGGATTGTTCCCAATTCAGTGTATTTTCTACATGCAAAGTTTTTTAGGAGTTATGTGACGTGCAGGCATTGTCCAATCAATCCATCAAGGTGCTGCAGGGTGTTCTGGGTGATCAGGGTGTGACCAAAGCAGGCCAGAGTTCCCACCTCGCCCACGTGGCTGTGTTTTGTGCAGATGAATGAGGAGTTGCCCATCAGGTCTCACTTCTCCATGAAGACAAAGGCAGAGGAAACCTTTGGAACTGGACATGGGGCCAGGGAAATGCTTCACACATAGCCTCTGTTTACTGTTTAGTGAAAGCCAGGTCAAAAGGACTTCAGATGTACCTTGAAAAACATGTCAAAGGAATCTGTAGCTGAGATTAGCTGCTTTCATAGAAAGGCTCTGAAGACAGTCTTCATCCCATGCTCTGTCAGTAGTAGGATTGCAGGGAAATCATTATCTGGCCTAATATACCCTGACCTGTTTGCTGGCTGCTTGAAAAGTGGTTTGGTTGCTTTGGTTTGTTTGGTATCATTTGATTTTGGGGTTTTTTTTTTCCATAGCTTGGACATTGAGAAGCAGCTGGGATCTGCTGACTGTGTTAGCAGATACTTCAGTTAACAGCTGTCTGTGGTTGTTGCTGTGTGGGACAGGCAAACACTGTGGCATGGATTAGACACTCTCAAGATCTGTATCTTTCCCTTCTCAAAGACTAAAGTTAAGAGAGGGGGGTGACAATCATGAGATTATTTCCTTAAACTTGTATCTTAGGCTAAATCTCAGGGTTACACTTGTTCTTTTCTTCATAAATCATTTTCCTTCTTTCTCATCCTTGAACTGCAGCCTTTCAAGGTCTTTTAGATGTTACAGAGTCTTAAACTGCTCCTTGCTTGGTCCAAGAGAAATTGCATATATTTGTTTTTCTGATTAAATGTTGTACTGTGTTTTTTCACTATAACTAATTAAATGTAATGTGCAGAATCTTTGGACAGAATCAGAGGAAGGCAAATAAATGAGTGAATGAAAAAAGAGAATGACAAGAAGGTGCTTCAGAAGCAGCCAGCCTGGATACCAGTGCACTTCAAAGCTCCAACATATCTGTTACATGCAAACATTTGAAAAATCAGTATCTCTGTCCCTTGCCTGCTTTAAGGTTCTCTTTTTAGGCTGGGGAAGATCAGCTAGAGAAAAGCTCCTTAGCTCTTCTGACCAGGCTGCTCTAAGGAGAATCCCCATGGGCCTCTGTGCATGTTCTTTCTCTTCAGGAATGTGTTCCTAGTCCATGAGGTTCCCAATGGATGTTTGGTTTCATACAGCTCCCCCAGGACTTGGCTGAAGTAATCTGATGTTCACCAGGTGGTACTGGAGAACTTGAAGGTTTCTTCAGACAGAAGTGGAAAGTTTTATGTATTTATTGATGCTGTATTGTGAATAATGCTTAAAAGACACCACAGAACTATCCAGATATGAGCAGCCTTGTGCTTTGTGTCATGGCCTGTGATAAATGGAAAACAAGACAATATTAATTACTTATGTTAACGAAAATAATGGAGTATATTGAGCAGAGGTGCCCTGTGACAGGGAACTAATTTCCAGTGTGAATAATTTTTCTCGAGCTGTTCCAAAACACAGCTAAGTTTTGTAGATTTAGGAGTGTATTTTATTTTCTGTCACAGGGTTGCCTGCAGTGTTCAGCACTACTGAACTGGTAACTTCACATTTCCTACACTAGTTCTTGGGCTCTGTAAGACTTTTGTGCAATTAAGAATAAAGTCTGAGAGAGCCGATAGACTGAAACCTGTCAGTTAAAGTGGCTTTTCTAGGTTCTCACAGGTTAAAAATTCTGTTTTCTGCCATGAGCTGCAGATTGAAATCACTCAGGAGTTCACCACTAACTAGTTTCTAGGTAAAAGTTGTTGATTACAAAAAGAGAGAAACAGATTTTTTTTTTTTTTCTTTTTTCTTTCTTTTTTTTTTTTTTTAAAGTACAGGAAGTTGCTGTGTGGGTGTCAGTGATTGGGTTATAAGTAAAATTCAATGCTCTAGTGCTTTGATCGTGGGACCTACTGCTTTTGCCCCACCCTTACCACTTCCTTTAAATGCAGCCCCATGCATTCCACATTGCGGTT